AAGTGCACACTTTTTCCAAACACTATAATGTGAGTATTATGTGAAATGGGTATATTTGAATAATGAAACTGTTGTAAAACTTTTTATTCTCAACAATAAAATGTGAAGCCAGTCACAAATCTTGTCTCTGCTGTTGTTATTTCAATGAAAATCTGAAGATCCAAAGTTTAGCCCCAGGTCTTTGTTTTGTCACATGAAAGGTTGCAGAATCATCTTTGATAGGCATCATCGTACAGTATGTCAACACCAAGCCCTTACTCAAGCTTTCTGTTACAAGAAGCTGCTTTGGGACTGGGGTTGTCTGAGTTGTGAAATGTTACGAGGAGGTAGACACCCTAAGGCTCGTGCGGGGCTCAGAGGGAGAAACAAGGTGTTCTGGTACCTGTTGTCGTGCCGAAGCAGGAGAACGAGCTGCTCGAGGGAAAGAGTCCCAGGAGAGGAAAGTGGATAAAATAAACTCTCTTTCTGTTCTTTAGTGAGGAGAGATGAGCTGAAATGACTCAACATTTTCATTCACCTCATCCATACAGTCTGATATTCTGACTGTTCATTTTTTACAGTGGGGGCTCTTGTGCTACTTTCAGTGCAGCAGAGCCGGGGGAGATTACTGAGTGGATGCAACGTGTGCAAGGACAAGGACCAGGGTGGTCTGAACGTGATGTTAGAAAATTATTTCAGAATTATTCCCTTTGTCAGCACTCATACGAGAACACACTGTTCAATGTCATATCTTCTCTTCAGAGTGCACTAGAACAAGGGAGATGAGTCCAAATGAGGCAATTTCCAAGGTTTACAGATGTGCATTTAACACCATGTGGTCTATCCCATTAAAACCTTGAACACTGTGCAGCTAATTCATGTGATTTACTGCATTTGTTTTCATGTATATTTGATATTTACTGTACACCTGTGAGACAGTTGTATACTTGTATACTCCAGTATTTGAGTTATATTCAAAAGGGGAAAACATTTTTCTTTTGGTTTTAGATCCAAGCCCTGAGGAGAAGAATTGAATGTGTTAAGGCACAAACACAGAGAGGCACAACACCTGCAGTATGTTGCTCCATAAACACACCCACTAAGTTTTTAGCTACAACCTGAAAGCTCCACTGATGCACAAAAATAACCAGCAGCATGCGTGTTAGCAAACAGCTGACATGATTGAACTCATGAGCTGTTAACGGCTGCATGAATATAAACATGAGACAGCCATGGGCGACTAAACAGGAGAAGAGGAATAAGAGTTTCACTAAGTGATATAAAGCAAAGGGCAATTTCTAACATCACTAACAATTGATAAGGCTACTAAAAGGCTGCGTTAAACGAGAACAACCAAAGTATGCCTGCACACACACATTGACACACACATTCTTCTAAAAAGAAGAGTAAATGGTGTAAGCACACTTATACATCGATTTACCCATCTGAAAGTATTTTCTACATTTTGATTTCCTTTGTAAGCTACTGTACAACTACAGAGCCAACATAATCTAAAGACCACACATAAACACAACATGTCCATCAAAGCTGTGAGCTGTAAAGCAAACTCAGAAATAGTCTGCTGTCATTAAAGAAACAGTTACATAGACTGTAAATATTAATCCCTGTGTGAACAAGCCTGAGTGACATTACCCATGTGTAACTACAGGGGGCGCTGGAGTCCCGTTGATGGCGGTCGCCATGTTGGAAATGTTCTCTCAACCTGACTTACAGTCAAACTAACGACAGGCTGAGAGTTGAGGGGGGTTTAAAGCCTCTTGATAAACCTTTACATATTTATCCTGAGGACATATATGCAGTCCACTTTTTTTTTATAGTATTAAGTATGAAGTTTTTGGAGAGGTAAACTGTGAGCTGTAGAGGGTTAACCCTAGGACCTGCCCACCTGTCAATCAGGTCAGCTATGCATCTTATTGTGAATAACACTTTTCCTTCTGAAATCAAAACGGTTTAATTATGAAAAAATTTAGTCTTTATACACTCCCTGTACAGTTTCCGCTATCGAGACATGAGCTAATCAATCAATTTAGCTTTTTTGAACCAGGCTGTAAACATTTTCATTTCTGATGTAAAAAGGGCTTTTTTGTTTTACTTCCAGTTCTTCTGCAGTCAGCCTCAAGCGGACACTGCAGGATTTTCTCTTTGGCATCTGCTTAATTTATCCACAGCCTATGTTTACGCTTAGTTAGAACAACCAATTTATAAAGTATAAAACAACAAGGCAATCAAGCAACAGCCACATGAGTGCTTTGTGAAAACGTCTTATTTTGTTCAAGCCAGCTTTGTGGCCTTGTGGTCATGTCTCTACCTCCTACTGAGCGGACTTGTCTGTTGTCATTAACCCTGGAAAACTGTCATAAACAGTTACCGACCACTCCAAAATTCCACAAAGAGTCCAGGTGAACTTCTCCAGCTGCTTTCTTTCCAATAAATCACAACAGCACAGCTCCAATTTCAGCTCCAGGATCAGAGGACGGAGTAATTGTGGAGCTTAAAGTCGTTCATCATCTTGAGACCATGAGACAGTTCTGCTCTTCCCAGAATTCAGTTGATTTCTTCCTCTTTTCCTCATTGGTTAGTTTTTCTTCAAATCTTAAATTCAATACCAAACAGTTTAATGCACTCAATTCAACTTTTGCTCAACAAATCACATTTTTTATCACCACAATGTGACTCAGGTGTAAATGTTGTAATAACTCTGGAGGTACAGATATCACCATCTCCTCTCTGCTTCTGCCTTGTTTTGGAATCAGGCTGCAACTTAAATCTCCAAACAGCATCTCAACTTGCACTAAGGCCAATCCCACAGAGATCAACTCTGCATTACTCTCCCATTTTCTCTACTCCAAGTCCTGCGCTCCCTCGCTCACTCCCTCTCTCTGTCATCACTGTGAAAATAATTCAAGGCTGCAATAATTTACGAGTAGTAAGAGTGTGTATGCATGTGAGAAAGCGTGTGTAGAGTTAAGATTTTAATAGGGCACAAGGAGATTTTTTTGCTGCTTTCACTTCATGTTATTACAGGATGAGCAAAGAGAGGACAGGAAAAGAAAAAATGCTTTAGATTTTTGGTGACATTGACGAGAAGGCTGAAAATTATTTCACAAAAAATGGAAAAGCACTCAATATGAAACAGACTCTCCACTGTTATCAAATATAATGGTTAGCAGGAGATTTACAAGATCCAAGACAGTAATTTGTTCCTTGTTAAGATGAAAGGGAATAGAGGTTTATGATGGAGCGTTGATATGACTTCTGAAAATACCAACAGTATCAACAGCAAAAAAGACTGCAATGAGAAACCTCTTCCAAACATCAGTGTGGATTTTAAATTTTCCAATCTCCAAACTGGTGGAGGGCGAGGAAGAAAGTTAATGAGGTTTCTCGTCAACAAAGACTGGAGTGCTTCGGCCTGACCTCCAGGCTCGGTGAGTCATTCCAGCACTTACGCTCGGCTGACTTGGATCTTTTCAAAGGTCTCGGCCAACAGCCGGGTCGAACTTATCAAAGCCATCAAACAGGAAATGCCTTGATGTCAGAGTGTTACTTATTCAGGGTCAGTGAAGACAGCAAGCTATACAACAAATATGAAACGATAACAAGGCTGTGATGGTGATAAATGATGGAGTACAGAAACAAAAACAAACAAGACTTTCCCATGATTGATAGACTGTACTGACAGTGTTGGAACTAAACCAACAACCTCACCGCTACAGAGCAAACAAACAAGCAAACTTTCATTCAGTGTTTATGTAAATGCTCATATTGGGGCAGCAGACGCTTGGTCTGTTTGGACTTTGCTTTGGAAATGAAGGGCTGCTGGTTCTAGTCCGGCCCAATGTGTGCGTGTGCATGTGTGTGTGTGTGTGTGTGTGTGTGTGTGTGTGTGTGTGTGTGTGTGTGTGTGTATTTCAGCAAATGAGAGTTTAAAATTAAATGTCCCCTCATGGGTTTAATGAAGTTAATCTTTTTCTTCTATTCCGATCAAAATGAAATTATGATTAACTATGCAGCCCTACCTACGCTTAGTCTTTCTGATGGCACCATCAGCCCCACTCACCTACTCACCACTGCACTATTATCTTATTTAGCCTTGTAGATATAGGGCGCTGCAGGAATGAGTCCTAAAACCCGGAAGTCAGTTAGCATTGTAGCACCATGGGGTCTAACGTCTAAAAGTCAACGGGGATTTTGAATGTGTTTGTGGTTAGACGCCTGAAATAAGGTCTGTGGTTAACACAAGCTTAAGAGATGTTGGTGTTTTGTTAGACCACATAAACTATGTTAGGTAATACCCACACTTGTAAATTTTGAAGTTTTTACGTGTCGTTGCTAACAAGTGGCTAAATGTGACTACAGTGGTTGTCGGGGATATTAAACGTCATCACACCGGACACAGAGGCCGGGAACTCTCTCACTAGTCTGAGATGTCTCCTGTAGGTTTAATCTTTAGGTTAAGGTGAATATTATGTTAGTAAACTATTTATTAAGCTAGGTGGATTAGTTTATCAGAGATCGTCTGAAGCATAACGGTAGTGACGTCACAATCATCTGACCGTGGTGTAGTTAGCTTGTACCATAACGTTAGCTTTGTACTTCTGTCGGCTGCATTAACTCTTCAAACATCATAAAAATGGTGTTCATCTGTGAAGATTATCCTGCTGAACAAAACGCCTACGCTTCAGAAACGTGTGTTTGACACAGAGCTTATTTTCTGCAATGATCCAAAATCCAATGAAAACATCCCATAGGAGAATTCTCCTTAGACCCCCATGGAGATGCTACTTCCGGGTTGGCCTACAAAAATACGTTATTGGGTTTGTTCCATGTTTGTTCTCTATTAGCCTTTGCTTATTTGTTTATTTTTGTGTTTATTGTTGATATTTAATATTATACCTTTGTACAAAGAGAGCACAGTTTACCAAAGTAAAATTCCTTGTGTGTTTAAGCATACCTGGCCAACAAAGTTGATTCTGATTCTGATTTGAGAAGTCACTCACCGGCCAGCACTCCTGCCATGTAGAGCAGACTTATCCGTAGGATGCCGTGGACCATTTCCAAAGGAACGCCAATCATCAGCTGCAGTAAAGCGTTGAACCCCAGCTGCTCCAAACTGACAAAGAGAAAAACACTCTCAACAGACAGCATTTGATATCTTTTTACATTTCCTAGATCTACATCACCTGCAACAACTAATCACATTCAAAGTGACCCAATCCTGCAAAAAAAAAAAAAAAAAACATGCAGGTAAAAGGAGAATAGTGAACGTACCCAACGTGCATGAACATGTAGCTGAAGAAGCGCCACACTTGTGCTCGGTGACCGGGATGATAGACCAGAGGGCTCTTCATGAAGTCCGGCTGGTAGGTCTGCAGCACCCACTTGTTCAGCATGATCCCGTAGCACATGAACACGATGATCTGTGATGGACACAGAAAATAAAACCATCACTTCCTGCTCTCTCTCTCTCTCTCTCTGCACACTGCTCGTACAAAGCTGGAAATTCTGCAGCAAAAACAAAAGCCATTGTGGTTTCTGAAAGACGTGTGACGTTTTTCTTCTCTTTCTGTTTCCTCAGCTGATGCTTATTAAGACTTGTGGAGACAATTACCGCCTGCAGAAAGAAAAACGCCACATCTGGTTCAATTCCATTAATTTCTTTTCATAGAATAAATGACTCATTGTCTGTGTGAATTAAAATGGATGTGAACCGTTATCATCACTCCCTCGATTGTCATTACGGACCTCTCATTGCCGTTTGGAGGTATTATGAGAGCACTTGGCTTTCTCCCTGCAGAATGATGACGACCAAAAGGTTGACATTTTGTTAACGGGCTGTAGCTTATTTTCCTGCTTAATCCCGCAACCATTCAGTGGTGGTCTGTTAGAGCGTTTGTGTTATTCTTTTTTCCCCAGCATAATAGGTCATTTAATTCCCATACGGTGGCCGTGGTGCTCACTGACCTGGTTTCTAAGTTCTAATGTGGTGTCTGCATGCAGGGTGGCTGAGGGGTTCGGCTCAGAGGAATGGCTTTAAATGCACCCACTAAACCCCCCGACTCCCAATTGGGTTACCAGCTCATACCGAGCTCACAGAAAATGTGCGTGATCAAAGAGCAGAGGAGTATCAAACATTCTGTGTGAGGGGTAAGTAGCACACACTCCAGTAAAACACTGTAGGCAAAATGTGTTTTAGAACCATACAAATCAATGGGCTGTATCAGTAGAATATTTTTAGTGTCTTAGAAAAAATCACAAGTGTCAGACATTAGATGCTGCTGCTTTTTCAATCTAGAGTGAGTCTGACTGTCAAAACAAATGAAAAAATTTCACCTAAACATTCACACATTACAACAGCTTTCTTTTCTTTTCTTTTCTTTTCTTTTGACATTGAAAGCTTGTTGTGCTTTCAAAATGTGTGTTTTAACAAACGTTTTGTGAATATATTGTATTTCTCAAAAGACATTTGAGTGTCGACAGTTTTTTTTTCAATGTCAGGTCAGTTTGGGAGTTTTTTTGTGTTATTTGAAAATGTTGTGATCAGTGAAACATCTTGAGTGATAAAATGTTTTTGGGAAATATCACTTAAATGTTTTAAATGTTTTTAAACATTTAAAACTGTTGTTATTTATTAAATGTGCTTAGTGTTTTTTTTGGGTGAAATATGATTTGATTTATAAAATGTTTGAAAATGTTTTTTGTATTTTATAAAAATGATCATTGCAAAAAACTTTGAGATTTTTTGTGTGACATGAAATGTATCTGCTCAAAATTATGTTTGGTTTTCAGAAATCTTTTAATTATTTACACACACACACACACACACACCACACACACACACACACACACACACACACACACACACACACACACACACACACACACACACACACACACACACACACACACACACACACACACACACACACACACTCAAATCTCACCTGTACAATGGTGACGATGGCTATGAAGACTGGCGGGGGACACAGGCGGTTCTGATGGAAGTACCAGCGCCGGTCTGTCTCACAGGGCAGGATCTCGTAGGCTACATAGCGGACAAAGCGTTTGTACAGACCCAGCCCCGTCTCATCCAGCAGGATCTCCCTCTGCAGCGTGCGGCGGCCATTAGCAATGGCCCGTCGGAAACTGCTGGAGCGCTTACTGCTCATCTAAGAAAAATTAAAAATTATTACTCTTGAGAGTGTGGAGGGCTGTGTTGAAGAGGACTGAAATGAAACATTAAGGATATTGATTAGTAAACAGAAGCTGGATGTGAGAGTCATCAATCTCATTTATCTGCAGCAGAAACAACTAGTAAACTCAGTTTCTCCAAAATGACAACAAAGCTTGTAGAAAAGATGAGAAACCATTTTTAGAGGTTGTTGTAAGTTTAAAGAACCGGTACACAATACATGTATATTTTTTACATCATGTAAAAAAATCTCATCTGATGCATCTGAAGAACAGCGGACATGTTGGAGCAGATCCCACCATCGCTCACTGCAGAATCTTTAAAGAGAGATGAAATCCTCAGTTCTCACGTTGAGTGGCTCATCACCACTTTACACCAGTAAAGAAGAATCTATTCTTTTCATATGATCTAAGAGAAGCTCATCAGTGTGACTGATAATCCAATAAGAGGAGCCAAAATGTTCAAAACACATTACAAAAGAGACAGCATGTAGTTTTACTTTGATGGGCCGGGTTAGTTGTCTAAAGAAAGCTTCACTTAGTTATTTTATTCAAGCTAAATGTTTCTATTCTCTCCCCACTTCTCAACTTTTACCAACTTTCTTTTATGTCTTTTATGGAGCATTTGTTTATCAGTGGAAATCTCTTTTAGATTGAAAATGAGCTCTAATCACTGAGAACTGCTGTCCATAAAAAAATATGAATATGAATGATATATGAATCAGCATTTTTAAATTATGTGTGACAGAGTGAGAAAAGATGGATTCCAGGGATTATTATGCAGATTTAAGCCTTTGTCGAGAGGATAGTGGACAGAGTAGAAACAGGGATGACAGTGGGGGGTGACAGGGGCAGTAAATGGAAAAGGGTGGGAATGTAACAAGGGGGCGCCACTTTGAGGGCCATAGCCTCTGTACATGGGACGTGTCATGTGCAATATAACCACTGTGCTAAAATGGCAAATAAATATAAGGAGATAAAACAGTCCTGAATCCATAATGCATCTCTAATGATTGCTTCTATCATTTACATGATATGATAATATAATGATTCACAGTTTTTTTAATATTATATATCAGCAGCAATTGAAACATTAACATCAAAGCCATGATAAATATATTAACAACTGGTGATCACTTCTATGCCACAAGAGAGATGTCAGAGCAGACACTGAATACTCAAGTGGATAAGAAACTTAAGTCATATCTAAGTGGTTTTGATTTCCACACAATGTGAGTGTTACTTGATTGCAGCTCAGTCATCTTTGCAAAAGACTGTTGAAGTGATTTTGCCCTTGAAAAGCAAATCTTTGTTAAGGACTAGGGAGAGTGTTTGAATGTGTTGGAGTGTGTTATCACAGACTCCAGGTTTGCTTAGTGAGCAAGAGCTGTGCAGACGCCTGCAGGCCAGCGGGACCAACTCTTGATAAGTTCTTTAATAGCAGATTATATGAAAACTACCCTAATGCTACTGTTTGACAGTTCACAGAGGGGTCCTGTTACTGCCAGAGTTAACCTTTGAAAAAAACAGACAGGTACTCACAGGCGGGGTCCTTCAGAGTCAATGTCTGCATTTTTCTTACAGGCAAGGAGCGTGCTACACAGGTAAGATGGCTGATAACTCTGTGGCTTTACTAGATGCTGCAGTGTCCTGTAGCTGAAACAATACAGCTCACTTTGAGCCAAAATGAGTCACTTTGCAATTATCTCTCAATACTGATACTTTATGAAAATTAGTTTTCTTAAGAGAGAGAGAGGGAGAGAGAGAGGGGGAGGGAGAGAGAGAGCGAGAGAGAGAGAGCGAGAGAGAGTGCATGTAGTCAAAAGCAGCCGTATATGTAAGTATAATGTATAATGTATACGTTCTCATAATTGCAGCCTGAGACATTTAGCAGCTTCATATGAAGCTGAAAACTCAACAGGGGGCCTGTAGGCAGTTCAACCTACTGTTAAAGTACACTGCATGTGATTCATTATCTCTTTCCTGCTGCCTGTAGACTCATTATATGTGGACACAGCAGGGGGCTTAGGGAAGGAAATTGTGGGTCAATAGCTTTAAAAGCTAATGAGCTAAATATACTGCAGGACAACAAAGACTGTAAATACATAGGACAATAATGAAGAAGTCAGGAGCTGATTGCACATCTCTACTGTTTGAGAAAAAAAGAAAATAGTTGCAAGTCATTTCTTAGTAAAGCTGGAAGTGGTAACTATTAGAACTCTGACACTGGTGGCGGTGGGAGGGGCCTGTTGCACAGTGATAACCAGAACGATGTTGAGCTAGCGCTGCTGGCTCTCACACATTGAGTATGGAAATCAGTCTGGAAAATGCAATTAAGCTATACTTGAGGCAGGGCGTGAAAGCAGAAGAAGAGGAGGAGAGGGGGGACATTAAAAAGAGAGGAGGAGATGCCTGCCTGTGTGAGTTCAATTAACAGATTCTGGAGGCCACTGATGGACAGTGACCCTGAGACATCTTATTTCTTTTTTATTAGGCAACTAAAATATTTAATTTCTTCACTTGCTAGTCGACACAAGAATTACATGTCGGTTGAACTAATTCACAATATTTGCATTAAAGGTAGGGTAGGTAATTTTCTCCAGATCCACTTCTTGAGATTTTGGTTGAAATTGTCTTTAGGTCCTGACAGAGATTAATAACTCATGTTCTCTGAAAAAGGAACAAAGAAAATCTGTCATCTGTAGCAGTTGTAAGACTGTAAAAACTTCAACCAAGGTCTGCCACGAGGTACCAATCTGATGAACCAATCAGACACCTCCCTGTCTCCCTGCTCGTTCTTATCCCATGCATGCACTAGCCCACACTCAAAGCATGAGCTGAGGTCCGCTTCTGGAGCAACAGTGTTTGTGCATGTAAGTGAGGGGGCATGGCTTTTGAGGGAGCACAGAGGGAAGGGGGAGGGGGTGGGTGCAGACGAAGCACTGAGGGAATGCTACTTTCTAAATCATGCTAGTTTTAGAAAATTACCAACACTGCCTTTAATATA